ATTTTTACCAATGTTCAGGAGTAAATAAATCACACCACACGTCCAATTCGCGTCAACTGGGGAGTCTAATATTCTTTCACTAGTGCACTGATATTATTTATACCATTTTTACAATAATGCAGTAGTCTGCATAACAGTAAATTTTGTATTTTTTTGTATGAAAAAAGAATCAAAATAGAAAGCAATAATAATATAAGAGGGGCCTAGAGATGTGACTAATGAACAGAGCATATGTTATTTTAGTGCCACGAATGTCTACCTTGTTTATTCTGGACCCTATTTTGAAATTGGCATCTTTTTTAGTTTGCGTGAAATTGGCCAAATTGCCAATTTCTGACCACCATATTGGGTAGTCCAAATTAGTAAATGGGAGGTTTCTTGTACTCAGCTGATAGATAAAATGGAGTTCTAAAGAAATAGCTATGAGTTTGGTCAACTGGAACAATGGAATTGGCTGAAAATAGGGCTCAAAGTCGGCGAAATCGCCGATACGCATATGTCGCCGAGACCTCTAACTTCGCGGGAGCATAATTCCATGAGTTTTCGACCAAATTTCGAACTTTTGGTTTCATTACCATCGGGAAAAGATTCTCTATCATTTCATAAGAAAAAATAATTTTTTTTTTTTAAAAAATTGAGCGACATAGAATGACAGTTTCAGAGAGGGGCCTGAAACAGTCAAAGGGTTAATAAAAGGTTAAAATCTGGATCAATGTTTGTAATCATAAGAATGAGAGTGACTCTACAGCTAGGTTTTTGAATAAATATTGTGTTGAACTTAATAATTAAGATACTTAACTAATTTATCTTACTAGGTAATGGATTGTTACACTTGTTTTTTGTAAAAAAAAAAAAAAAAATACAGAATTACAGTTTCCTCTTTATAAGGTACAGATTTGATGAATTAATATTGAACTGTTATAATTTTAAGGTTTGACAAAGGTGTAGATTTTTAATAGATGTTTACTGAACACAGTAAAATGAAATAAGAGAAACGGAAGTTTATAATACTTGATAATGTAAGTAATTATAAAATACAAGGATTATAATTCTTATTATGGCACAAGTTTGACAATATAATATTGCACTGGTTATCAGTTCTATAATCTTAGTTTACAATAGTAAGCAAGTAATGGTATATTAAAATTAAAAAAAGAACTAAAAGAGCGAGTATAGAGGATATAGTGATCAATGTACAAAAGTAAAATGGACTGGTAGTAAATATGGTGTTTAATAAAATTTTAGTAAGTAACAATGATTACAAAAACTATTAATTAAATAAAAAAGGAAAAAGAAATGTTTATTTCAAGTATGTATTAAATTTTTAAGAATAGTTATTTGGATTCAGTATTGCACTGGTAGATATACTAGAGCTTATTTGGCAGCACATGGTATTTAAGAGTAATGAACTACACTAACATAGTAAATGTGGTATTAAATCAGGTTATGGTAATTAAACAAGTACATAATGGCAATTAAAATAATATGTCAAAAATGTTAATAGTGAATTGGACTGATAGAAAAATGGTATTAAATAAAAACTTTAGTAATAGCAATTAATAGTATTTAAAAATATGGGGCTGTAAAATGGACATAAAGTATTTATTAAGCAAATTTTTAAGCAAGCAATAGTAATTAAGAAAATTACATAACATAAGGTGACTTACTCTTACTAGTAAAATCACATTACTGAGGTAGTTGAATTTTTTGATTACTAAGAGATTGTACTGTGAAATTTGTACAATAATGGAGCAACCCATACACTACACATGGGCTTTTAGGTTGGACATTTTTAGTTATTCTCTGTAAGATTAGTATCCCTGAAAAATCATGATAGATCATTCTCGTTTGTGATTGTGTACAGTTGGCCTACATTTGTTTTCCTAACTAGAATTTTCCCATCCTGAGTGAAGCATTGGTGTATTGTTTCATTATTCTCCCGCTTAAGTTTTCTGACTCTATACAGGAGGTTCTGATGTTTTTTGGTGAGACACTCGTTTATGTATGCCTCTTTCTTTACTTGAATAAATGCAATAATTAAGTCTTTTTTCCAGTCATGTGAGTGGGATCTAAGCATGACACTTTTTCTACCATGGGATCTTAGTAACCTGGCTTCCTTTATTTCTGACTCTTATACAGTAACTTTTGTTTGGTCCATAGTGTTTGTTTGGTTCATATCACTGGGAAAAAGTGGACTGTTAACTATTACTGTGTCTGATAGTTTTTCTTGCTCAGTTTTATCTTCTTGGAGCGCAAAGTAGTCACTGAACTGGTTATCCAAGTTGTTCTTCCATTCTTTTACTGCTTCCTCAACCTTTGTATTAAGAGATATTATTTGTTATGTATGGCTATCTATGACTGTTTGGAGGGTCTTGCCAAAGTTAGTCATTCCTGGTGTTGATAACTTTTGTTTAAGACTGAGAATTTTGCTCTCGAGTTGTGACATCCTGGTGTCTTGTTTTGTTAACGTCTCTCGAAGATTCATGTTTTCAGTAACTAGGGTGGAGATGTATGACTTAAGGGTATCTGGATCGTTGGTCATTCCTGAGAGACTATTTGGTAGGTTGAATCCGGAGAAGAGAGAGGTGGTTAAGCTGGAGGCAGCCATGTTTGGAGTTATTGTTGTGGCGTCGCCCTGGGCTGTGGTGAGAGGGGTGGTAGGTGAGCCAGCATCGCCCTGGGTAAACTTGTTGAATAGTCGATTTTTTGGTGTTTTCTTGCTGGCCTTGGTGCTGTTTCCTCTGAGATTACGCCTCATAATAATACAGGAGTCGTAGGAGTTGTTGTAGTTAAGAAGAAACTGTAGTTATACAAAGCTTAGGGTTATGTTTTTCGGCTGGCAGCTGGGTGTTGCTTTGGGTTTGAGGGGCAGTCTTCCTTTGATCTCTATGATATTCGATTAGTAGGTTTCACTGTTGGTAATCTTTGGTCATTCTGGGTGCTACATTGGGTAGTGCAGTTTTGCTTGCAACTAGGTCATCATAGGAGCATTGGTGGCTCTGGTTGTTGGAGAAAAATATGGAGCTTGGAAGCCGCTGCTGCTGCTGCTGCCGCGGCAGTTTCACCACCAGTTTTCTTGCACCTTTTGTTCCACAGCCTTGCTAGATTATCCGTTCTGCATGACCAGCAGAGGTCACAATAATTCAACACCCTGCCTTGATGGGAAACGGCTAATGTGATGATAAAAACTACTCTGACCCACTAATTATACACCTCTAATGTCTCCAAAGCACTTTGGTTTATTAATTTCTGTTCTTACTGCACCCAAAATGGCAAATTTCTAAAATTTGCCATTTTGGGTGCAGTAAGAACAGAAATTAATAAATCAAAGTGCTTTGGAGACATTAGAGGTGTATAATTAGTGGGTCAGAGTAGTTTTTATCATCACATTAGCCGTTTCCCATCAAGGCAGGGTGTTGAATTATTGTGACCTCTGCTGGTCATGCAGAACTGTAAATCATGAACTGTAAATCAAATCTTTTTAAGCATTTATCCAAGCAAACTTTCATGTTCTTTGATTTTTCCCTGTGTAATTTTTCATGCATCAAGTAAAGGTTCACTAGTTCTTGTTTTGTCACAAATGTTGTTCCAACCCTTTGATTAATTCATCTGACTAATTTAACTTGTCAATAGTAAGTCTTTTGGCTCCACTATTATCACTTGCATCTTATGTACAGGTTATTTGTGTATTGTACCAGTCACAGTATTGTGCCTTTTTGTTCTTTATTTCACCAGTTTACTTTCCGTCGTATCTATTGATCATGAGAAACTGCCCAGTTACCCATTAGAATAAGTGCCCAGAATTTGGTAATTTGGTAAATTTTACATTATTTTCAACAAATTCCAATTTAAAAATAAATCCAAGGCAAAAATTGTAGGTGTTCCTGCCACTAAGGCAACCTTCCCTCTTTTCATTAATCATGTCTCCAAGCCTCTCCCTTCATCTTGCATCTGTCATCACACAAAATTTTCACCTAATAAACCTGAACCAAGAATGCTTGGTTATGGTTTGGGCTGTCCTAATAATTGAAGCCCTTAAAATCCCATAAAACAGACCAGGGAAGGGGAGGCTGCCCTATCCTTCCCTTCCCCAGGAAAATCTGAAGTTGACTATTTCTCACCAATTTTATGTCAATCTATTAATACCAAGAAACAGCCAGTAAAAACAGCAAAATCCTAAAAACTTATCCAGTGTAGTTATTTTAATTTGAATTCAGGATTAGAGGTTAACAGTTCCCCTCATTCACTACATGTGGCAGGATTTTTATTTTTTTATACTGTACACACCCACCCACCATTCAGTAAATTTGGGGGCACTATGAATCATGCATATTAGTATGTCATGGTCTCTTATTGCTGTAATATACTGCTCTTCACATAGGTACACCTGATGGGTTAAGAAAACCACTTTGGATTGGTTTCAAACTTTCAGCACTGGTGCATCCTACTTAGCAGAAGGTTCAGTGTTACTGGAGATTGTAGTTGCCAATTTGCCAAATTAATTTTTATAATTTTTTTTTTCCATGAAATAACTTGAGTATGCTTTTCGTAAATGACTTAACTCTTTAATGGCTGATGCATCCTGTGAAAAGGAATATACCTTACAATTTATGGCTCTGTAGGTGCAAATTTGCCAATTTATCCATATAATAAACTTGGAATTTTTGGATACATTGCATTAACTTGAGAATGCCCCATCTGGTAGGCTTCAAACTTTTAGTGCTGGTGTATTTTTCTCAAAGGAAGGTTCTCATCAATTTTGCCAATTTTTATTAAACTTGCTTTCCTTCAATTTTTGGCTGTGTATGTGAAAACTTGCTAATTTTATTGTAGAAATTGGGAAAAATTTTAATATTGGTCTTCATGTAATCGTTTGTGAATTCCTCATCTGATTGTCTTCAGACCTTCTATGCTGATGGACAGTTAAATGAATTTATAGAGTTGTAGGAAATAAGCATTATAATATGTACTTATAATAATGCTGATTTTTCATTACCCAGGGCAAGCATTTTGACTGGTCAGTATGTTCACAACCATGGTACCATCAACAACTCTATTAGTGGACAGTGTAGTGGTGTTAGATGGCAGGTAAGTTCAGTTATTTAATGGATTAGTTGGTATACATGATGACATTTCATTCCAGTATTGATCCTAATGAAGAGAGAGAGCATGCAGAACAAATTTCGAATGGCCTATATCCAGATTAAAGAAGGGTACTGAAAAACTATTGATTTTGTGCTTTTTGAACCTATCTTTGACCTTTCTCAGTTTTCTGCCCTTTTCGCAAACATTGAAACTAATCTTTTTACATTTTTTTTTTTTTTGGGGGGGGGGGGGAGGTGGTTGGGAGGCAGATTTCAGGTGAACTTGTCCATTTTGATAATGATATCCCTTTGGGTACCTGTTTTTATACAGTAATAGTGATAATGTAGCCTTTTTTGTATTTAATCTTTTTATAATCCTTTTTAAACTTTTAGTAGTTGTAGCACTTACTCTCTCCTCTGTGATCACTTTACTGTGGTCTACCAATATTAGTTAAGTAAAATTTTGTAGTATCCTTTTTTCATAGTTTCTCAGTTTAAAGTTGTAACCTCTCTTTGCAGTCTCTCATTGTTAGCCATTGCTTCTCAGTTGCTTAACCCTTAAACTGTCCAAACGTAGATCTTCATTTGCTCGCATAGCGCTCCAAACGTAGATGTACTTTTTTTTTTTTAACATGCTTTCAAGTGGAGAAGATCAAGGTCGGAGTGCTACGCACATAAACGTAGATCTATGTTTGGACAGTTTAAGGGTTAAACATACATGTATAAATCTTTTTGTTCTCATAATTTCATAATTGATCATTGTATTTAGTGCATGAAATTCTTATGAGTTTCTGCAGAATTATTGACTAATAAAGTTGTCTTCAGAAAAATACAAATCAGCCTTTAATACTTTTTGTACTGTCTAAGAAAGAATATTAAGAAAATGAAGGATTTTATCTTTTTTTTATCCACCTTTAAAGAATTTGTTATTCCTATATTAACCCTTTCAGGGTCCAAGGCCAAAATCTGAAGTGGTGCCCCAGTGTCCAAGAATTTTCAAAAAAAATTTTTTTTATTTTTTCTTATGAAATGGTAGAAAATCTTTTTGTGAATGTAATAAAACAAAAAGTACGAAATTTGATGGAAAATTGACGAAATTATGCTCTCGTGAATTTTGATGTGTCAGCGATATTTACGAATCGGCGATTTTGCCGACTTTGACTCCCATTTTAGGCCAGTTACATTGTTCCAGTCGACCAAATTCTTAGCTATTTCACTAGCATTACTTCTATTCTATCGATTGAGCACAAGAAATCGCCAAGTCAACTGTTTCAACTACAAAATAAAGTGACCGGAAATTGGTAATTTGGCCAATTTAACACAAAGTTTAAAATATTCCAATTTCAAAATGGGGTCCAGAATAAACAATGTAGGTATTCCTGGCACTAAACTAACATTTCCTCTGTTCATTAATTATGTTTTGAGGCTTTACAAATAAATTCCATTTTGATTTTTTATTCACAATGAATTTTTATTCACACAAAAAAAATAGAAGATTTACTGTTATGCAATATTGTAATAATTGTATAAATATCATCACCACATTTGTGAATGCATATTAGACCCACCAGCTGGCGTGTATTAGAAGTGTGAGGTCGTTTGTTTACTCTTGAACATCGGCGAAAAATTTAACATTTCCGCCACTTTGAGCTCAGTTTCAAGCCATTTCCAGTGCTAAAACCAATCAAAATTATCTCTATTTCTGTAATATGTCTTCCATTCTATCAATTGAGACCAAGAAATCACAAACTATAAAAAACATACGAAAAAACACTGCAAAGTCGCTGTTTTAATCGAAAATTATGGTCTCAGTTTTTTTTCTCTCATTATACACAGTGTGCTGCAGGATTTGTTTTATGTGGTGCACACATACCACATAGATGTATTCTCTCATATCTAGGCCCAAATTTACCACTCACAGTTTATCAGAGTGAGCTGAGCTCATGACGTAGATGTACGGTTTGGACCCTGAACATAAAGCCGTAGATCTACGGGACGGACCCTGAAAGGGTTAAGTAGAATTGTAGTACAGTATGGTAAAATGGGGAAACAGGGAGACGTGATCTTTCACTCGACACTGATGCTGATGAAAGGCTCTGGATCCAAGAAATTGGATCTACTCTCCCTTGGATCATGCCTCACTACCTCAAGTGCTGTATGATCCCTTCAGATTTAGTGCCTCTTGAATATTAAACATAGTAAATATTTTTCCCCATTGTCTGTGAATGTCCAAACCTCCTCAACAGCCCTTTCTCACCTTTCTGAATGATATTTTTGGTAACCTCAAATCTCTTAATCTCCAAACCCTGAACTCTCTTCATAATATTCACATCATACATTACCCTCAAACACGACGATGTTTAAAGCCCATTCTTCACATTGATTTCCTCCATACTCCCTCTCTCCAGTCTGATATCCATTCTCTCATTACTTAGATTTTTGGATACCTCTCATCTTTTTTATTTTCACTTTTATTTTCCTTCTTTTACTTACCCTCCCAAATTTGTCTACCAACCTTTGCAGCTTCTCTTCAGAATCTCACACATTCAAAGTCCCTTTAAGAATGGTTAACTTTGTATTCAATCTTTATTTTATTTATGGCAGTCAGGATGGAGGTTTTCTATCTTTAATCTTTAATCTATTAGATATTGCTCTGTGATCTACTGCTAGATTGAGATCTTTGTTTTGTCCACATTTACTTTATATCATTAACTCTATAGAGTTTGTTGGTGGTATGAGTATACAGTCCATTTTGAGTGCACTGTATGTAATGTTCAGTTGACAAAACTTGACATTGTATATTTATATTAATTACACGTAATTTTAAGTTGGAAAAAACATGATATTTTCCTAGGTGCTACTGCTGTGCACCAACTGACTTAACAATATAAAGTTTTGTGAACTGAACATTGCATACAAATATATTTTTGTCAGACTGTAAAATATATTACAGTATCTTTATTTTGGGGGCTATTTGATTTTTGAGATATAACTTCATTATATAAAAATTCATGTTTTAGAAAATGTATTGTGGTTTGAGGCAGATTTTTTTTTAATCACACTGGTTGTCTCCCATTGAGGCAGGGTGACCCAAAAAAGAAACACCATCATTCACTCTATCACTGACTTGTAAGAGGCATGTAGATTCTACAGTTTGGATTTTGTAATATATTTTACAGTGACAAAAGTATATTTGTATGTAATGTTCAGGTCACAAAATTTTATATTGTTAAGTCAGTTGGTGCACAGCAGTAGCACCTAGGAAAATATCATGTTTTTTCCTACTTAAAATTGGGTGTAATTAATATAAATATACAGTGTCAAGTTTTGTTAACTGAACATTACATACAGTGCACTCAAGATGGACTGTATATGCATACCACCAACAATTTCTATAGAGTTAATGATATAAAGCTCTCCCAGACTCGTTCTCAGGGTCGAGAAATTTAAAAAAAAAAAAAATTCTTATGAAAAGATTTTTTTTTTTTCTAAAAATTATAGGCTAAAAAAATTTTTTTTGCCATCAATACTTACCGAGATATGGAGGCATAAAGTTGACAGAAAATGAGCCTCATGTGGCATCATCGCCGACTGCTAGTCACCCGGTATTTTTTTTTTTGTACTTTTTTCTATTATTTTTTAATTTTTTTTCAAGTAACTTTTATGGCCTGTGAGACCAATATGAGCACTATTTTGTAAGTTTTTTCTCTTTATTTGCTACGCAATAACTGCACAAACACTGTTGTCACTACATTGTTTACAAAACTTGTTTATGCAAACAAATGATATAAAATGTTGTTTATTACTATTTTTCTGTATTTTATATACACATATACAGTCACAGAACATATTTCTAGAAGTTCTGCAGCCTGTGGAACTCTTTGAAACATGGTGTCATGCACAGTGGTGTTTTACACTCCTCACACTTAAAACGAGTGTCTCTGCATTGTTGTGGGCGTTTTTTTTTTTTTGTATGTGCACAGATGTAACACCTCTTCTGAGCCTTTTACTTGAAAGCAGTAGCAGGCAGTTGTATTAGGAAGTGATCACCATGCTTCAGACGAGAAGGTAATTGTTGATAATTTAGTGGGCAGTTTTCTATTGCAGGTGTTGTTCCTTGGTACCTGAGTATTATTTGTCTGATGACAGACAAACAAAATTCGCCATATGGTGGTTTGTTTCTGGTCCTCATCGTATACATATTATAAGCATTGAGCATGGAAATGTCCAGAAGATGGAAAAAGAGTTTTATGTACCACTTATAACTCTTGCGAACACAATCAGCAAACCCAATCTGCATGTCACATTTGTCCACTGAACACATACTGAAGGTGTAATTAATTACAGCTGCTGGTTTTAGAATGGGTTCATTGGTCTCTCTGTTCTGCCTGCCAGTGTTGTCATTTCATTAGGGTTAACTGATGACAACAGTGTGACATCTCATTTGTCATGTAACCAAAATGCCATGATGTCATTGGCAGCAAATGCCTGCACCTTACCTCTACGAGTGCCAGCGTCAAACCTGGGCATATGCTTACGATTTGCACGCACTGTGCCACACATGTCTGCCATGTTCACTCGCAAAAAGTCACTGAGTGAGGGACTTGTGTACCAGTTATCAGTATATAATATATGCCCCTTACCAAGGTATGGTTCCGTCATTGTTCTAACCACATCACCAGAGATGCCCAATAACTTCCTGGTATTTTGCAATGTATAAGTTCCAGTGTACACAATAATATCCAATACAAGACCACTGTAGCAGTTACAAAGTACAAATAACTTTATACCACAGCATTTCTTCTTGCTTGGTATATACTGCTTGAATGATAGTCTTCCTTTGAACAGAATCAAAGACTCATCAATAACAAGCTTCCTGACGGGATAAAAATATATATTGAATTTCTCTTTCAGGTACACAAACACATTCCTAATCTTATATAACCTGTCATTTCTGTCAGGCCTGGTTTTGTCTGAGAAGTGAAGCATACGTAATAGTAGCAC